TGGAACAAGTCAGATTGAACTTGTGCGCTCACCTGCCTACAGTGTAAAGGACAGAATAAGGTACACAACAAGGTTTTAACACTTGTCTTACAATGACAGGATAAAGGACCGACAGCAAATTTAAATCCTTAAAACTGTAAGGATATCTGCTGTCCTCAGGGATGTACTAACAGCTGAGTCTGCGCCTGCTTTAAAAGGCAAACCTGCAAAAGTGAAATGAAAGGTTATACTGTGAAAAAATAGACCCCAGTGTTAGCAACTGTTAGCAACACTGACTTTATGTTAGTCCAGCAGTGATGTTTGTTTCTGTAGTCAAACAGCTGGACTGCAGGATTTAATTTGCCTGAGTTTGTTATCAGACTGAGCGCTGATGAGCTTCCTGTTTGTGTGCATGCTTTCAGCTCCATGTTTGGGGGACAGTTAGATATCCACTCTGGAGGGATTGACCTGGCTTTTCCTCACCACGAGAATGAGATCGCTCAGAGTGAGGCGTATCACCAGTGTGGACAATGGGCAAACTACTTCCTGCACTCAGGTAAGAGCCAGACGTGGTGCTGCCTCGTGCACGCTCTCTGGAAAGCAGACGTTGTCTGAAAGTGTCTGAAAGTCATTCGTGTTGCAGAGTTTGGGAGCAGCTGTGTGTCGTGCTCTGTTAAGCGTGTCGTTGCTGTTTTTAGGGCACTTACACCTGAAGGGCAGTGCAGAGAAAATGTCTAAATCTTTAAAGAACTACATCAGCATCAAGGTACAGTCCTCTGACTTCTCCTTGTCTCAGTTGTGTTATTGCATTAATACCTGAGTGCACTATGCTGTGTGGAGTGGGTGAAAATGACCACGTCTTCGTCCTCGTCAGGACTTTCTGCAGTCTTATTCTGCCGATGAATTCCGGATGTTTTGTCTTTTGAGCAAATACAGATCAGGTGAGGCAAACGATTAGGTCTTGGTTTTCCCAGTTTGATACATGCATGCGTTCGTTATTGGAGTCGCATAGCTGCGATGTTAAACTGCACTTCCTGTAATGTCTCCGCAGCTATCGACTACAGCGACAGCAGCGTGCTGGAGGCTCGCAGCACTCTGGACACCATCTCCAGCTTCTGCCACGATGCTCAGGCCTACATGAAGGGTCAGCTGCAGTGTTCACACGTGCAGGAGGATTTGCTCTGGAGCAGGTGCCCACTTTCTCCTCCGCCCATGGCCGAGTGTCCTCTTCATATTTCTGTCTCTCCTGTACCTCGCACAGCTGTAATTAGCTGAAGCAGTGAGGACAGATGCTCGTGCCGGCACCAGTCAGGCATTTTGAGACGTTTGCCTGCTACATTCAGCTGATGCCTGAGTTTCTGCTCCGTCTACAAACTTCCTGTGTTTTTTGTACTTTTTCAGGCTGGCTGAGACTAAATCCACTGTGATGACCACTCTAGCAGATGACTTTGATACACCGAGAGCCATAAGTGCTCTGATGAATCTGGTTTATCACGGAAACTGCCAGCTTCAGCCTGTTTCTACGGTAACTGCCTGACAGGTTTGATGTCAGTGTGTCAGTGATGTTAGTGGAAAGTCCCAGTTAGCAGCTGGGTCTCCACCAGGTCTGGCAGTATTACCGCTCTGGGAGAATGCTGTCGT